TTTAAAGATGGGCGGCTTTGATGGCGGGCGGCTTTGATGGTGGGCGGCTTTAAAGATGGGCGGCTTTGATGATGGCGGCTTTGATGATGGGCGGCTTTGATGATGGGCGGCTTTGATGATGGGCGGCTTTGATGGTGGGCGGCTTTAAAGATGGGCGTCTTGGTTGATGGGCGGCTTAGACGACGGACGGCATAGATGATGGGCGGCTTTCATGATGGACGGCTTAGATGATGGACGGCTTTCATGATGGACGGCATAGACGATGGACGGCTTTCATGATGGGCGGCATGGATGATGGATGGCATTCATGATGGGCGGCATGGATGATGGATGGCTCTCGTGATGGGCGGCTTTCATGATGGGCGGCATGGATGATGGGCGGCTTATCGTCGCCCCAGGTCCCACAGCAAACAAGCGCCGTACGTCGCAATCGCAGCTTCCCTGACCCCAAACAGAGACCCGTTTGTAGATCAGGGCCTATACTTTCAAAACTCGCTAAGTGAACGTAAGTACTTACGCTCTAGTTTCATGTCTATGATTGGTGGATTTTGCTTGAAAGGCCGTCAATGATTGGCTGATTAACTTACGATCTCTTAACTTTTTTTGAAAGTAAAGGCCCAGTTTCTCTGGGCCTATACTTTCAAAAAAAAGTTGAGAGATCGTAAGTTCAACAGCCAATCATAGAAGGCCTTTCAAGCCAAATCCACCAATCATAGACAAGAAAATAAAGCGTAAGTTTTTACGCTTACTTAGTGAGTTCTGAAGATCAGCTTCTCTGGAACGCAGCGCCATCAATATGGCCGCAATAATTTGTTGCTTATTGCTTATTCAATTTAGCAATATATGTAGGAATTAGAATAAATTAAATTGCAACGAAGAAAACAAGCAATCGACCAGTTTGTTCCGCTTCAAGAACTGCTTCCGGCGAGAACCATCAATCAGGTGATTGAGAAAGCGTAAAATATTCAAAAGCTGGTTCATATGAATGAATATGACATCGTGGCCGTGCCGTCACTTACTGATGATTTAATAAGCTCATCTGACCGAATGCTGCTCCTAATTATGAAAATACGATCAAGATATGATTAACATTGAGTGGAACGTTAAAAGTCGCTGTATGCATAATATTGCTGTCATCATTACTGTAGCCCTCATTATTGCGTTCATAATTGGTTTGTATGCTGTAATTGTTGTATATTGAACTCAAGCAGTCTAGTTATTGCCGTCCGATCACTATCCATCCTAACAACTGTCTTATCTGCTAAAAAATTAATCCCGATGCCAGCTCATTAATTTATCTAAAGAGCTTGCGATAAAATCAAACCGTGAACAAAATTTTTTTATTCCTTGCGTATTCCACCCGCTGCCATGACACCCGATCAATTAAAGGTTTATTTTTTTCAAATAAAATTTCAAAATTCAGGAGTGAATATTTCCCGGTGATATCAGTTATGCATTAAAGATAAATAAATTCGTAAGCTGGCGATCACTGTCATATCTTCATCTGCCTTGAGCTACTGTGTCGCCCTGAGGCTCACTTACTTTTAGTCCTGGGACTTATTCTGTCCCAGCCAAAAAAACTGCATTTGTGTTCATGTTGGACAGGGTGAGACAGAGAGTTTTTGCTTTATCGCGACCGAACTTTAAAACTCTAACTTTTTCTGGACGTTTAATTTTGAAGAATTTTTGTGTTCTGAATTTATACTATATGATATCACTAACTAATATGTAATAGCATTTTTATATTTTCTACCTCGGTTCACCAATATTGCGGATTTTGTAAACTACTTAAATTAGAGTTGCAGTAAAATAAAGCCGAAAACTGAAAAATGAAGCCGAACCGTCACCGAAAATTTAACGATATTCCCTCGGTTTGCTCACTCTGCTCGTGTCTCGAAGACCAGCACAACGGGCTCTTATATAGGTTACGGGATTTTTCCGTAACGCGGGTTCTTGGGTACGGAATCTCTCATGTAACACGTTTACCGGGGCTTACTGGATCTTTCCCGTAACACGGACGTCTTAGGTTAGGGATCTTTCCTGTAAAACCTATGAACGTTCCGACGGGGGCGATCTGCAATCACCAGAATCTTCTATCCTCTAAGGATATTCCAATGAGCAATTACCGAGTTTCTTTCCAGTCTCCACCTTATAATATAAACTAATAAACTTCAAGCTGCATAACTAAGATGAAAAATAAATGACCGGAATGAGAAGTGTGCGCTGCGTTGGAACAATTTGGCATCGTTCCCACCAATACGGTGCCATAATCTGCAGAAATGAATGTTTCCATCCAATTAAGCCCAAAATACTGAATGGAGCTATTTGTCGCCTGCATTCCGCACGCCGCCCTATTTACTGGAAATAATAAGCACGGCGTGAAGGAGGGCTAATCTTGCGGCAACCCGCACTCGAAATGTTGCCACCACACGCGACGCTCGGCAGCGCCGGGCCGCTGGTTCTCGCGCGCGCGCGACGCGTGTCGGCGACAAAAGCGCACGCGCGCGCCGTCACCGCAGCGACTGCGCGCGACGTGTCCACGTACTTGAGAACGACACGTGATGTATCGATAATAAAACCAAACGTTTTCACGCTGTCTGAGCGCCGGTCGCTGGGGGAGGAACAAGAGATTTGTCAAAGTACCCGACGTTTAATCGTCGGCAATGCTGAGAGGCGGCGAATGTTTCCCTATTGAAATTAATGTCCGTGGCCTGTGCTGTGAGAATAAACAGATATGGCACTGCCGCTGTGTGCTCTGTGGGACGAGCGACATCGTCTTAATGTCCCTTAATGTTAAGCACTTTAATGTTTCAGAAGTGCTGGGGTGAAAAAGGAAGAAATCTGATTAGTATATATTAAGCAAATCATATTTCAGTAAATCATGTCTACTTACTAAAAGAAAACTGTCAGGTAAAAATTATTCAACAGGAAAATAATGCTCCCTTCAAATCATTCGACTGGTATGGGTATGGACATCCTCCATCAACGCAATCGTTAAAGAGCGATGCTGGTCTGAGCGAATGGCGCCACGACAACAGCTTCAAATACTCTGTAATTTGACGCTTAAAACCTACAACCTTTGAGCTCGTGTAGTTTGTGGGATGAGAATCGAAGTTTCTTTGTGGAAAATTAGTTTAGCTATTTCAGTGCAATAAAGTGGCAACATCATCCAATTTCTACGATTCTCCGATCCACTCGAAAACTTTCTTTCGCTTTCTACTATTCTCTGAGCTTTACGTCTGTTATTCACTTCGCTTACGAGAGCGAGCGTCCGTTGTAATCGGGGCATCGTGAATGATCGATAATCCAGTAGCGAGAATAGCCCGCCCGACCCTACAAGGGCAGCCCGCCCGACCCTCCCCTGCTATCCTGTCCGACCCTCGCCTGCTGGCCCGCCCGACCCAAGACTGCTATCCTGCCCGACCCTCGACTGCTGGCCCGCCCGACCCTCGCCTGCTGGCATTGAAAGTCGTCATGCACGTTCCATGCAGCGTTATCTGCTCGTGATCGCTTAAACTAGAGACGACGGATATAGAAACCAGGAACTTTTCCAGAATTATATGCCCAAATGTAACGTCAAAGAGGGATAATATATGAAGGGGATAAGAGGTGAGTTTACGTGTTGGTTGATTTTTTATTAGCCTCCAGCTGTTTGCGTGAACACCAATGTGTTAGTCTGTATCTTGTATAGTGTAGGTAATTTGTGTGGACACAAATTCCCTCGTGGTTTGGCCAGGATTTGCGTGCTCGCTGCACTCGCGTACTGACCGAATTACATTAGTTTTAAAGGCACAAAATCATAAATTCAAGCAAGCTCACAACTTTCAGCAGATCAGAGACAACCTTAAGTTGAGGCTACGCTCACGCGCCAGGTTGAAGAGCTGTTGCTTCAATCCTACACGTGCGTAAACGATAGGAAGATACGCATAACCAGGAGAAAACCAATGATAGCCCCATCATAGTCGATATCGTCTATTTCTTTGTATCTTTTTGATACATATTAAATGATAGGACATTGTAGTATCTTATCGGTAATTGAAGTGTTTGGTAGAATATTAAATGATAGGATATTGTTGTATCCTATTGTTAATTGAAGTATTTCGGTAAAATATTAAATGATAGGACATTGTAGTATCTTATTGGTAATTGAAGTATTTCGGTAAAATATTAAATGATAGGACATTGTAGTATCATATTGGTAATTAAAGTGTTTGATAAAATATTAATTGATAGGACATTGCAGTATCCTATTGGCAATTGAAGTATTTCGGTAAAATTTAAATGATTTGGTATAAAGTAGAAGTATTTATTTGATAGCTCTGATTTGGACGCTCAAGACTGAGGTCGCTTTGTGATGACCTGAGCACTGACCTGCTAGCTGCCTACGACGTCTGGGCTCCTGGCCCTGACAGATGAGTGGGACTGATGAGTGGGACTGATGAGAGGGCTGATGAGTGGGACTGATGAGTGGGGCTGATGAGTGGGACTGATGAGTGGGGCTGATGAGTGGGGCTGATGAGTGGGACTGATGAGTGGGACTGATGAGTGGGTTGATGAGTGGGACTACTTAGTGGGGCTGATGAGTGGGGCTGATGAGTGGGACTGACGAGTGGGACTGATTAGTGTGACTGCTGAGTGGGACACGTGGCTCAAGTGACACACCGTGCAGCAATTGCAGGTTGCCCTCAACTGATACCCTCAATACCTCACCGAGGGTATCACTTCCCTCAAGTGATCTCCTCACCGAGGGTATCACTTCCCTCAAGCCAAGGTATCAAGTCTCACTGTCTGCTTCAGTTGCCCCCACGACGGCCTCGTCTCAAGTCATCAGGCAGTTGCTGTCATTTACATTTAATTAACCACATTCATTATATTATTAATCAACATCAAGGTTAATTCGAACCAGCTGCGTTATTAATTGAATTGATATTGTTTTGTTAATAGGCTATATATATTTTGTTAATAGAGATTGGGTGCGACTGAAGACGTAAGAGAGGCTGAAGAGTTGAAGTCCTAAAGAAATTAACCTTAATTGTGACACCGAAGACTTGTTTTCTAATTTTATTTTCGTGATTGCTTACGTTCAGCAATACTGTATGCATTTATTGTTAAATTTTGATTGCCTTATTTGTCTAATTGTGGCAGCCTTATTTGCTTAAATGAGTTTTTTTTATCTCTTTTTGGTAGTAAATTGTTTCGGTTTAATTTGCGTTTGAAGATCTTCGTCCTTGTACGTCGCTGAAGCCGAATTTTGCCTCCTGAGGTTTTGAGTGTGGAAGGAAGTGCTTGATGATATTGTGAGGCCCCACCAACTTTCCCTCAAGTGAGGCCACCAACTCTCCCCTCTAGTGAGGCACCACCAACTCTCCCCTCAAGTGAGGCCACCAACTCTCCTCTGTAGTGAGGCCACACCAACTCTCCCCTCTAGTAAAGCCACCAACTCTCCCATTTATTGAGGCCCCACCAACTTTCACTTACTTATAATCTGTTAAAGTTTAGAAAAATCAGGAAATGCTGAACCTATAATTCATCGCAGTTTGTTCTCAGCGCAACTGATGTCAAGTGCACCGTACCGTTGCAGATGACCGTGGGTGGGGAGCGGAGTAGTGCAGCGCTTATATATGATTATATAATTATATAATTAATATATATAATTCTGCAGGGTGCTGATGCCGTCATGGTCAGCATTAGGCAGTGCTGTAGACGTGCTGCTGCATTGCGACCAGCACGACAGCTTGCTATGAACCTCCTGCTCATCATGACCGTGCTGCTAGCAGCAGGTACCATCAGCATTATTGTTCAGCTGGCATGATGGTGCATGTGTGATAAACTGTCATGGGGTATGGTGAGGCTTATAATGGGGTTACCGATAGAAATATTTTGGCATTTTATTAGCCGATAGCATTACTGCTAGCAATTTTCTAGCATTTGGTCAGCCAGAAGCAGGTCTGATAGAAATATCTTGGGATTTTGCAAAAGCCTGATTGACGCTCCAAATTAGATGCGTCGACCAGGTTTAAATAGGAGAGTCCGTGAACCTAAAGAAAAACTATTATCATAACAAAAATACACAGCAACCTGAACTTTCGCTCATCAAATTCGTCCTCCAGCCGTTCAGTTTTGTGTTTAATCTGCCTTGCCAACGGCACGCAGGCACCACCAGTGGGCTGCAGTACCCGTTGTCGTACCAGTACCGCTACCACGCGACGGTTGGAACAGCGCTGCCAGACGCAGGACCCCAGCCTTCACTGGTGTCGATCGACACGATACTCGAGGTTGACACGGCGCCCAACAACGTCTTTCTGATCAGGGTGCGGCTCGGGGTATTTTTTCCAGTTGTTTCGAAGGATTCATAGCTTATAACTGATTGGAAAAAAATTCTCCGACTCAATCATTTTTTTTGCCTGGAGAAATGGTAGTTAATTTCATCAAAATTAAAAAAGCGGAGTACGTTTGTTTTCAATTTGAGGACAAAGTCAAGCGTATGTCGTCAAAGTGAATGTTAGAACTTGAACGGAGGTTTAGATCAACACTAAAAGACACAGCAGCGTGTGAACGGTGTAATGCACCATTAAGCACCTCTCACAGCAGCTTCTATTACACCATTAGGCACCTCTGGTTCACCATCATAAGCACCTCTTATTTTCATCAGTTCAGAGACACGCGTGTGGGCGAGTCTCACGGCAGCGGGGAGTGCGGGCAGCTGGGGACGGAGCAGCAGGGGCAGCTAGCACCCGCGCTCAGGGAGCTCTTCGAAGCACCGTTCCAGGTCACCCTGGACTACCACAACAAGGTGCGCTTTTCATGGCAGGTGACTGAGAGGTGATGGGGAATTGATGACGGTGTAGGAGCTGAGATTTCATTTAATCGCTCCACAGTACAGCACTATGGTAAATGCAGCGCTGTTGCGTCTATTTGTGTTTAGATTGGCCAGTGAACACTTTTTCCGAGGGATTTTTGTTGGCCCAGCTCCCCATAGGTATTGAGCAGCCCTCCTCCACAGCCACAGCTCGCAGTGCCTCCCGACGAACCGCTGTGGCTGAGTAACGTTCGCAAGGGCGTCGTGCAGCTGCTGCTGGTGCTGCCTACCGTAGAGCACCAACTCAAACGCTCCTACACCAACACCCGCACCAACTCCCTCGACAGCGACACCAGCAGGAGCCCCCTACAGCCCACCTCCTTCAGCAGGAGGGAGGACACCATCTACGGAGCGTGCACAGTCCAGTGAGAACATATTAAGCGCTAATGTTATTATCGAAGCTATTAGCCCCTTTTGTTCTGTGAGAACAATTGCTGTCAGGTATTGCGACTTCATCTCGTGGTATATACGAAATGATAAATTCATGTTATCTTATAATTTGCTTATTTTTCCCAGCTATCAGACATAGCATTTGGGGCGTGGCGGCAGGTCAATGTCTTATAATATGGCGGGTGTGTCAATTGCTGAGCATTATATTATTAATTATCTTACTTTTATTTCATCTTCTTGTGCCCATCCGTCATTCTAATCCTCTATTTCGTCATTGTTTGATGTCAGGTACAGAATTTGAGGAGTATGAGTAAATAGAAATGTTATTTAAGTAACTGTAAAGGAATTTGGGACCACTACTCCAACCGTAGTCCAGAGAAGCTGGAAAATTCCAATTACGGTCCAGGGTTATTTCAGCCAAGGAATCTACCGCAATCGCACAAACTCAACCTGGCCTCACCACGTGATGCAAATAAAAACACGCGTAACTTATTTAGCATTTAATAAACAATGGAAATCAAGTAGGAAAAGTAAAGGAACAGTAGAGGTAGCAAGATCGCCGGGGTTTCAAGGTTCCACCAGGATGCAAGGTTCCACCAGGATGCAAGGTTCCACCAGGATGCAAGGCTCCACCAGGATGCAAGGTTCCACCAGGATGCAAGGTTCCACCAGGATGCAAGGTTCCACCAGGACGCAAGTGGTGCGGCTGAGTTCTAAGCTTAAAGCGCTAGGGTAGGAGGATGTAAATGTGGATATGCATGATATGGAGCCAGTACGTGTTACTCCGTGGATGAGTAGCCCCTTTGTGGCCAGTCAGGAGGTCTATCCGAGAGTGGAAACAAGAAGTGCGCGTTCCACATCCCACGAGTTTCAACGAGCTAAGCACTTTAAGGCTATACCTACGTTTACTACGTAATTGGCTGCGTAACTGTTGACGTGGCGCTGTAGACCAATGAAGATTGGCCGGATGAATTTCCTCTACAGTAATATTTGCTTATCATGCATCAACTCAACTAGTTTGACTAGCATGATAATGGTTTACACATTATCTTAATACTGACTTATTCATTCGCCGCAACATGTCGCGCCTTCTCAACGCCGAGTTCTTGAAAAAAAGTATTATTTAAAGTTAACTCGATCCTGCTGGTACGGAACTAAACAGAGAAGTTCCGAGAACAAATCAGACTCAGAAGTCCTTATTAGCTTCTCAAACTCTGAACATAAGATACTTTATCTTAGATTCTTTTCAGCTCGTAATCGAACATTTCTAGCAAATCGATGACGGGATTCTACGATTGATCATGCAGTGACCTCAGTTCATTCACCTCATTATCGTGAGTCTCGTTCAAATCGTGGTCCAGGTATGCAAGCTTGGCTATTTGTCCTCACGGTTGGTCTCTTTTTCCTCCTCCTCTGCAGGTACGTTCTGTCGCCGGCGTCAGGCGCGGTGCGCGCGGCTCATCCGCTGCCGGGGCGCGACCTGCAGCGCCGGGCGGGAAAGTCCGCCGACGGCTCCTGGCCTGAGATATCAGAGTACCTTTACGAACTGCAGCGCTCCACTGACCTCAACGACTGCACCAACAGGCCCCTCATGTTCACCTCCACCAACACCGCGGGTCAGTAGTGCCCCTCATGTTCACCTCCACCAACACCGAGGGTCAGTAGTGCCCCTCATGTTCACCTCCACCAACACCGAGGGTCAGTAGTGCCCCTCATGTTCACCTCCACCAACACCGAGCGTCAGTAGTGCCCCTCATGTTCACCTCCACCAAATCGGAGGGTCAGTAGTACCTCTCACCAGGGCGTTATTGTATGCAGCGAACAAAACACAATGTCAAAGAGTTATTGTATAACGACGTCGTCATTATACTCGTCGCAGGCGGGAAGAACCACACGTCCAGTTCTGGTGACCGGTTCTTCACGCAGTCGTCGCTGGGGCGCCTGATCCTGAGGGGGGAAAACAACCCCCGCCGCGCCCAGAACCTGAGGCTCGAGTGGGCGCAGGTCGACGCTGGGGCCGTGATGAAGCCCTTGGGAATACCGGGTGCCGTGATGCAGATTGTCACGAACCAGGTGGGGAATTGTTACTAAACAGGTGGTATTAGTGAATTAGTTTCTTGAGTTAAGATTGTCGTGTAGCCGGTAAACAATATTGTAGAGGTTACAAAAAATGTATTATTGATTGAATTATCAAGCACGCCAAATTAAAAAAGATTGTTTTCGATAGCTCACCACTGAGCCAATTGTGATAGCTAGCCACACTCACCAAGTCTGAAATATTACTATTGTCCAAACTATCAATTAATCAATGAGTGCTTCACGCACCTAGTCCTAACTAGTAAAGTTGACTTGCTCCTAACCCCTCCTGCCACCCCACCCTCCTTGCAGACGCTGGCGCTGACGATGACGTACAAGCGCCGCGTCCCGCCCCCGCCGTCCAGCCTCAAGACCCTCAACTCGATGGCCTTCGAGATGTCCTCACCCTTCCCCCAGTCCCCCTCCCAGCCCTCGTCCTGGGTCCGATACTCTTCAATCGTAAGAAATCGTGTTTTATGTTCACCCTTCAGCCCCTCACACTGCTCCCTTGCCAGCCCTGGTCCTACACATCTTACAAGCTTGTCTCCTGGCTCCGACACCCATGGAAATGTCATCAATTAATTTAAATTCTATCAACTTCATACGCACTTGCACTGGCCCATCTTCCCCCTCAGTTTATTCCTGCTAATTTTTCCCCCTCTCCCTCTTTGATTGAAAATCATATGCTCATGGGCTCATTTTATTCTCATACACTTAACATGCATGTATGTCCTAATGTACTCATGTGCTCGCTTTATTCTCATACACTTAACATGCATGTATGTCCTAATGTACTCATGTGCTCGCTTTATTCTCATACACTTAACATGCATGTATGTCCTCATGTACTCATGTGCTCGCTTTATTCTCATACACTTAACATGCATGTATGTCCTCATGTACTCATGTGCTCCATGTGTGCCGTGAATTTCCTACATTCACCCCCTGCACAGGACGACGCCCTGGCGCCCACGTACCCCGAAGAATACCTCACAGGGCGGCGCCCCAACGCCTCAGCTACCCACCTCCTCAAGGTGAGCGTCGTGGACCGTTTTAACACAATGATATTTCGGCAGGCCTGTCTATATTTGTCATGATAATTGGGAAGTCCTAAGTTTAGTAGCAGGGTTTTACGGATCAATACAGAAAAGGATGAATCGTTTCATTTATCAAGTTCATGGGGGAAATGTGTCTCCACAGTTAAAAAAATGTGTTGATCAATGGACTTACAATTTTGACTTTGCAACCGACTCCGGTTGAAAAATAGACTATTTTAAGCTACGTCGGCTGATAATTAGGCGATTTCAACCTTCGTTGCTGACAATTAGGCTATTACAAGCTATTACAAGTGGCTCGAGCAAGCACACACTGAAGTTTGCCTCGAGCCCCCAGGGGGGCTGTTGAACTCCTACCTCCCCCCCACAGGAGCGGCTGCTGCAGGAGGTTGTTGCCACCGCCACGACCCTGCGGACGCTTCTGGTGGCGCAGCACTCGGGCGCTGGCAAGGCGCATGGCGAGGCGCCGTCAGGAGGAGCGTTGTCAGGAGGACCACAGTCAGGAGGAGCATTGTCAGGAGGACCACAGTCAGGAGGATCAGCTGCAGGGCAGGTCATTGACCAGCTTGTCAGCATCACAGAGCTGACGCGTGCACTCACCAAAGAGGACCTGGCAGACGTCAGCAAGAAGGTTCTGGCCATGGAAGATGACCTCGTCAAGTAAGGGCAAATACAAGGTCAATCGGCAATAAAAATTTGCACGAATTATTACAGCTATTTATGAGTACAGTTGTGCGCGGTGCTCATCAGCGTTAGTTACAATGACACCGCGTAACTTCTACGATCTAAAACCGTGTTGCCAAACCTCCTGTTATGAGTTTTTGTTCTAATCTGCCGCTTGTTCATCCGCCCCACTCTGCAGTGCACCTTTGCGCTGAACAGTGCAACGTGACCGTGTCTGAAAGCGATATTGGGATACTCGGTTCCATCTCTATTAGTTCGGATTAAAGGATTTTGAAATAACTGTAGTATATTATTAGATGGAAACATTGTCTTAAAACACTCACGGTTCTTATTCACTTGAATATGTTAATCAATATTTTTATAATGCCCGTTGTTGGTTTAGCATTACCTCGGTTTGCGTCTCCATTCCTAATATCATAGGAATAATAATATCACATCAGGAGAATCTGGGGTAATATCAGATCAATATCGAAGCAATGTCAGTAAATATCATAATGATCTCAGGTAATGGCAAGACAATATCAGAGTAATATCAAGGCAACATCACAAGGAAACATTCGTGCTCAATAAAATTGACGTCCATCACTACTGACGCCCATCAATACTGAAGTCCACCAATACTGACGTCCACCAATACTGACGTCCACCAATACTGACGTCCATCAATACTGACGTCCATCAATACTGACGTCCACCAATACTGACGTCCATCAATACTGACGTCCACCAATACTGACGTCCATCAATACTGACGTCCACCAATACTGACGTCCATCAATCCTGACGTCCATCAATACTGACGTCCACAGACAGGTGTTCCGTGAAGCTCTGTCGTCCAGCGGCGCCTCAGCGGCGGTGGCGGTGGTGTTGGACGAGCTCCTGCAGCGTCGCCCGTCGCCCCTGGACGCGTGGGCGACGCTGGCGAGTGTGGCGACGTCCACGCGCTCGCCTGTCTCCGCCACTCAGCTGCACGTGAGTGACCATGCAGGGCACGAGTACGGGTACGTCGGGCCACTGTAGTCCTATGGCAGCGCCACTGTAGTCCTATGGCAGCGCCACTGTAGTCCTATGGCAGCGCCACTGTAGTACTGTGGCAGCGCCGCTGTAGTGCTGTGGCAGCGCCACTGTAGTTCTGTGGCAGCGCCGCTGTAGTGCTGTGGCAGCGCCACTGTAGTACTGTGGCAGCGCCACTGTAGTCCTATGGCAGCGCCACTGTAGTACTGTGGCAGCGCCACTGTAGTCCTATGGCAGCGCCACTGTAGTACTGTGGCAGCGCCACTGTAGTACTGTGGCAGCACCACTGTAGTGCAGTGGTTAGCGCCACTGTAGTAAGGTGGCACATTATACTACTACCACTGTAGGACACCGGTCGCGCCAATGGTGGCGCATCAGCATGGTCTTGGGTTGGTGTTCCTAAACAAACACTGGGCACGAGTTATTTCGGGAATCTCAAGGTCTTAGCGTCGAAGCTATCGGCACGAGCGGTCGCATCTACGTTTATGAGGGGTTATGTGACCGGTTTTGCCGTGTGTCAGTAGAATAATTTTTTACGTGACGGTTTTGCGTGCTGCAGGACTTCGTGGAGGCTCTGAGCAGCAGTGACGCCACAGCCACAGAGGCGAGCGGCGTTAGGTTCTTGCTGACGTCAGCGCTGCTCACGACGGCCACGTCAGCGCGCAGGCTGTGTGCTCCTGACAGGCGTCAGTTCTACGGTCGCCTCTATGACGACCACTGCAGCGTGCAGACTAAACTGCTGGCCCTCATCAGACGCCTGATGCAGGTGCGGCAGAGAGTTACGGAGGAATAACTTAAGCCACACGAATGAGCCAAGCCAGACAGAGAGCTCACGGCAGTGAGGCAGATTCACAATCCTACCACCAACCCCGCGCACTCATAACCCCAACACAACCGCGTCAGATTTTTAACTTTACCACCCCACCCCCGGCAAACTCTTAACCCTCCCACTACTCCTCCATGACGTTGCGCAGGACCCGTCGAACCCCCCGTGGCAGAAGGTGGCGCTGGTCCAAGCCCTCGGGTACCTGCAGGGGGAGGCCGCGTTCGAGGAGCTCCTAGAGATCATTGTGTCCAGCAGCTCCGACGTCGCCCTCAGGACTGCCGCGGTGCTTAGTGTCGTGTCGGGGCACACCACCCCCGCCCTCCGTAGCAAGGTAAGGGGGTGATGCCTTTCAACCAGGCCTTTCCTTTGGTTTCCTTGGTCTTTCAACCAGGCCTTTAGGGCTCTCCGTGAGAGGCAGACTCGCAGGTGATGAGGCTGGTAAGATCAAAATGGCCTCAAATTCGTCTAAAAGAAACAATGTTCCAGCAACCACCCAAAGATAGCAGCAGCTCTTAGATTGTAAGAGGCTTTGCATCAGCCTCTGCTTAGATAGCAGAGGCTGTATATATTTCCCAGACCGACCAGACCGATCAAGACTTTTTGGAAAGGATCTAATGGTCTCTATGGCCCATGTTTCTTATAAAATAATCACTCCTGCACACCCGACAGGTGTTCGATGGTTTGGCACCCTTGGTGGCGTCACAAGTGGAGCCTCCAGCGCTTCGTCAGGCGGCCGTCCTGGCGATGTTGACATGGCGGCCCGACCAAACGTGGTGGCTCAGGTAATGTACTGCCAGTAGTCTGTACTGAAGGTCCAGTGCTGCCAGTAGTCTGTACTGAAGGACCAGTGCTGCAAGTAGTTTGTACTGAAGGACCAGTGCTGCCAGTAGTCTGTACTGAAGGACCAGTGCTGCCAGTAGTCTGTACTGAAGGACCAGTGCTGCCAGCAGTCTGTACCGACTGTCTCTTATACACATCTAGATGTGTATAAGAGACAGGTATGAAGGTACCGAAGTGAGACTTNCTGTACTGAAGGACCAGCACTGCCAGTAGTCTGTACTGAAGGACCAGCGCTGCCAGTAGTCTGTACTGAAGGACCAGCACTGCCAGTGGTCTGTTCTGAAGGACCAGCACTGCCAGTAGTCTGTACTGAATGACCAGCACTACCAGTAGTCTATATTTAAGCAGTTTCCTTCAACTGCCCCAGCAGACACATTATTTGTAGCAGCTACATATAGTTGCTGTTACATATGACACTGATATATTACATGCTTACACCTGCAGTAGAACAGTATAAACCTTTCCTTGTATTGTTCTCGACCTAAAAAGGGACCTACTAATGTCACGTGCCTCTCAGTTTACTAAACTTGAGCAGCACTCATGCATACTGGTCACTCCCACTAAAGGCACCTTAGTAAAAACGCGACGATTTTTCAACGCTGCTTTTCTTGAAGGTTGTACAACTTGAGACCCTGCGAGAAAAAAAAGATTACGGATGTAATAATAAAGTGGGCTTGTTATTACGGTACTTGTGTCCCCCCGCCAGGCTGGCCAGAGCGACGTGGCGGGAGGAGTCGCCTGCAGTGGCGGAATTTGTGGCTCAGGCCATGCGCTCCGTGGCAGAGCTCGGGGCCCCCGCGTGGCGCACTCAGTGAGACTGACCCCTATCTTTAGGGACATGAATATATTGAGCTTAATTATCTTTGTCTTGATTATTTTCAGCTTACTTATGTTTAGCTTGATTATCTTCAGCGTCATGATTATCTTTAGCTTTATTTACATGCTTCAAAGCATTAGGGATAAATTACATACGCTCGTCCAGTAGTTTTTACATACCCTGGCTATAAGTTGACTCGTGTCCCGGCCCTGAATATCAGCCTGATCCAACGGTTTCAAAATGCTTATCAGGTAACAGCATATTGGTCAGGCATCTTGCTATCCTTTAAGTCTGATAAAATCTATGTGCTAAACATACTGTACAAGTGTACATGTGTGTACTGCACGAAAGTGCCAAGTTCCCTTCATTTCCTTAAGCGGGGCCGACACAGCTCGATCTCTTACCTATTTTCTTACGACTTACGTCCTTCGTAACGCCCTTTGACGCCTTGACTCCTACAGGCGACGGTACGCGCAGGAGGCGCTGGCGCTGAGTCGGCCGGTACTCGCCCCGTCCCGCCAGTCCTTGCACAGCATCTTGGAGGCCTTCGCAACACCTCCTATGGTGGGTCCCAGCGGTCACTACGACCATCATGGTAAGAAAAGGCTGTTACCACGCCCTCCATGGTGGGTCACGGCGGTCACCACGCCCCCCATGGTGGGTCCCAGCGGTCACCACGCCCTTCATGGTGGGTCACGGCGGTCACCACGCCCCTCATAGTGGGTCACGGCGGTCACCACGCCCCCCATGGTGGGTCACGGCGGTCACCACGCCCCCCATGGTGGGTCACGGCGGTCACCACGACCCCCATGGTGGATCACAGCGGTCTCCACGCCCCCATGGTGGGTCACGGCGGTCACCACGCCCTCCATGGTGGGTCACAGCGGTCACCACGCCCTCCATGGTGGGTCACAGCGGTCACCACGCCCCCATGGTGGATCACAGCGGTCTCCACGTCCCTCATGGTGGGTCACGGCGGTCCTCACGTCCCCCATGGTGGGTCACGGGGGCCACGGTGGATCACAAAGTACCTATCAAAGAAAAATTCATTACTCAGCGGAAATATTCTTTATATTACCTGCATTTCACCTCAGCGGTCACGACTGAAGATTATATGAGCTCGCGGTGCCAACGAGACCTCGAAAGTTCAAAACAAACTGTGGCCTGATGTCCTGGCCACGGGTTATCTGGCTTCAAAAAGCGCGGCAGCAACAAATCGAATTTCCCTGTAGTTGCTCCATACCTCGTCTTTCCCTCTGTACAGATGCAGTTGCTCCATATCTCGTCTTTCCCTCTGTACAGAAGGAGTTGCTCCACACCTCGTCTCTCCCTCTGTACAGATGGAATTGTTCCATACCTCGTTTCTCCCTCTGTACAGAAGGAGTTGCTCCATACCTCGTCTCTCCCTCTGTACAGAAGAAGTTGCTCTATACCGAATCTCTCCCTGTGTACAGAAGGAGTTGCTCTATACCTCGTCTCTCCCTCTGTACAGGATTTGCTCCATTCCTTGTCTCTCCCGCTGTACAGACGGAGTTGCTACATACCTCGTCTCTCCCTCTGTAAGTTGCTCCATGCTCGTCTTTCCCTCTGTACAGATGGAGTTGGAGTCGGAGCTCGGATGGCTGTTGAGCCTTAGGACGCGCTTGCCGGATGACTTTTTCGTCAGCCTCGCCGCCAAGATGAACGCCATCAGGATGCCGCTCCTTGAGGTGCCTTTTTATTCATTTCTTTCATATGGCGCAATGGTGGTGCGATAATCTCAAACAATTCTGTAATGAATAGTGAATAATATCTTTCATGCGCGATTGTCGTTGATAGCATTACGCATTTATAGGAGAAATTTACGTGTACGATAAGAAATTTAAAATCAAAATTTTTGATAATATTTGTGCGCCCAGGCTGGGTTCTACGGCCAGGGCGCCGAGCTGTGGCGGGCGCTGCGGTGGCGCGGCGCTGGTGAGGCCAGCGACCGAAGCGGCGCCAAACTGCGGCGGGAGTTCAACGAAATCCTCGTGAGTTGCCGTCACAGTTGGCGGGTTTACCGCTAAAAGAAGCTAAGATTTAAATTTAAATCCGAAACCACGTTTGAAATTGGAAGCTGTTAAAGCCTTGTATCCTTGGCCTAAGTTAAAATTCCAACTTTAAATCTGACGAAGCTAACGAGTTTTTTAAATAAATTCCCTAACAAAATTCGGGGTATGCTTCAGCCTCCGCCCCAGAGCTGCTGTTCGCGTAAGCGGCTCTATCAGCGGCTAGTCAAAATCGCAATCGGCAAAGAGGTTTGATCGCAATCAGCGGCTAGTCAAAACATCTTTGCCGACTTTACAGTCTCCTGAGAGTAGGGCAGGAGTTAGCAGAATAAGGACCAGCCTCTGGGAGCTGTCTGCTTCGAGGACCGGAATGTAGACGGAAAAGCCGCCCTCGGCTCTAAATTTTGTTAGGGAAGCTGCAGCTACGTCCTAATTTCTTTTTTTTATCAGTGAGCTACTTTTTATTCCGCAGCTCTGATGCTATTGCATCTTTTCCTACTCGAACTTCATTGCAGAATGAAAATTTCTGATCCGCCATATCCAAGAGGCTCAATAAGACTATTTGTTCTCAAAAAATTCAAGGTTGTTCGTAAAGACAATTTCCCACCCAAAACTAAAGTAAAATAATCTAAGTAGAGCTAAAAATTCAACAAATTTTTAATGAAGACTGAAGGATCTTTCAGAATATTTCAACAAATTCAGATAGATAAAACGTTCCCCCGTGTCTTCGAGTCAGAATGGTTGTTCGTGGTGTTTAGAAGACAAGATTCACAAATTTTAACACAGGATCTTTTTAAGGCCCTGATTGAAAGCCGAGAGGCTTCGAATAGGCTCGGCTCTTCCCTAAGCGTTTCTTCACTAATTAGGATAGACTTTACTCCACTCGCAAATGAGATGGCGATATGGATTTTTCCATACTTACCCAGCTATTTATTTATAAGCGTCGACCAGTAACAAAAAATATGTAAACTTTGTATTAAAAGAGTTTTAATGAGAGGAAATTCCAAGAAACTTTGAATATTATTGTTCATCAAGTCTGCGACTTTTACACTTTTTTCGAGATATGAACGGGTTGTAATTTTTATTGTCAATTGAATGGTATATTCGGCATTCCTTGATCAGCTTCCTTGTTATAGATATTTTCTACCAAAAAATATTTATGATCGAGTCTGCTGATACACGGAGGGAAAATCCCGCATACTAGCTGCTCAAATGGAGACGTTGTGCAATGTTTGAGGGGAAAGAGGCGTCGTAAATTACTGAACTGTCAGTTCACGACGGGTGGCATGGTGCCGGGAACTCAATGAGGGGCGAAGAATAATACGTGGCCAGTGGTCGGCCTAGTCCAATTAGTTATAGACGACCGCTGGCCATTCCTCGGCCACCTGAAAGCGACCAGTTGCCGCGAAGAAGGGTCTGGCTAGGATATCATATTCCAAAGGGTACAAGCTCGCGGGTATAGCGACTGGCCGAGCTTTGGGCAGATCAAGGATTTTACACGATGGTCGCGAAAACCTCGCTCTCAGACTTCGCTGCATTTTGACTACAAGCCTTAAGTCTTATATTAGCTTGTCTTTATTCGCTACAAGAGATTTTTTTCTTTTCGATTGTCAAACATTGCCTGCTGGCCAAATTTTCCACGACAAGTCTGACGAGATATTTTGTGAGGATCTCATGGCAGGAGAAACCTTAACTTTCTATCACAAAATTATTTTAGACATTATGTTCCCTCAAACGAATTATTCCGAGCCATTTCGCTCCCCCACCCAGCGCGGCTTGGGGGCGGCCACGACCCCCCAGTCCTCCCCTTGGGGGCTGCTGCTCCTCAGGCTTTTCTCTGGCCTCCACGCCCCCCTCCCCCTCGACGCCGCCTTCCTGCAGGATCTCAAACCTCCTGGTGGGGTTGATGTTTAATTTAAATTACTTTACATTTAATATAAAGACTTCTGATTTTACTATATTTGAAGCTTAAATATTTATTATTTCCAACTTGGAAATAAATTAATTCTATCAAGCCTGCCGTAATCGGCAGGCTTGATAAAATATTGAATGATAGGCTTGATATTGCCGGAATCGGCATAATCGACTACAACGATTATTTTATTTTATTTCATTTGTTTCATAGTAAATCTCAATAGTAGATGTCATGACGTTATTTGAAGACGTTGGAAAAATTTACCGTTGTACCGTTTTCCTCTCCCCCCTCCCAGGCTCCGGCGGCTCGTCCCACACGAGCCGTGACGTTCACTTCTTCAAGTTCGGGCAACCCGCGTGGCGGGAGGTGGTCGTGCCCACAGACGTGGGCATCCCCGTGGTGGGGCACATCCGCACCCCGGGCTTCCTCTACCAGAAGGGCAAGTACGACGTACGGAGCGTCACTGAAGGCCCCCCTCGCCACCCCACCAAACACACCACCGTCGCTTTCACCGGCAACACCTCGTGAGTTTGGGGCGCAAACTTGAAGCTTTATAATATGTTAATGCAATGAACTCGAAGTTTATTGTAGCGCTATATATCCTGGCGCCGCGACATCAGAGATACGACACAATTACCGAGTCAACCAGGCTGCTCCCACCTTGCAGTTGATATTCTAGACCTATTCCTTTAGATTTTCATGGTTGATAGACCAGCCCAAGTCCTCAGACCTCATGGTTATTCACCAGACCTAGTCCCACAGACCTCACAAGTAACAGACCAGGCCTACTCGTCTTAGACATAGCAATTGACGGACTAGATCTAGAAGGTAATGTACGAGATACTTAAGTGGCACTTTATTACTTATGACATTAGAAAACCTAAAAGATTATTGTCTGTTGACGATCTAGTTCGGCTATTAGATCTTTCTTAATGTCTTCTCTTCATTTAATCCAGACCTTATTCGAACTTGTGGGCCAAGTGCAAATTCCATTTCTGTTGTATTTCCAATTTGATTTATAAATGAACAAGACAAGATATGATGCAAAAAGCTGAGATTCTTGCAAAGTTGTTTGTGTAGTGAATGGAATTTTCGTCAGGCCGGTTAGAAGTTTTTCACTGTCTCCATTGCATTCAAAATAACCACTTCGGAATTCTATATCTTTTGGAAACCTGAACTCCTTGATTCAGTCTTAAGATCTTAATGTTACTGATAGTTCAATTGATAATACAAAAGCGACTGGCAAGATGAAAATATGGGGTCAAATTTTGTTTAAAAATTGTGGAATAATGAGATAGATGACACGCTAATGGTGGCCCGTACGCCGATGACATCCCGAATGCTTCAATGACCGCGCCGTCGAGTTCATTTTAAAGGGTCCAAAGTTCCTAAAATGGATTAATTAAGAAATTATAGCCAAATTGTGACCTGTGAGCCCAACCTGCAGATTTGCCTGGAGCCTGGAGAGCTCCTTGGGGGCCCTGGTGCCCTGGCTGGACCAGACACTGGAAACTGGAGTGCAGCTCCGGTCCAGCATCGCACTGATCAACTCATCAGTCGCCGCAACCTTCAGCGCAGGCACTACTAACAGTCAGCTTCAGCTCAACGTCAGCGCTGACGTCAACAAGGAGGCAAGGCATATTAATGAATCTCTTAATCATGAGGGTCAGTTAATTATGTGTATCACTTGAAGGCAGGTCTATTTGCTATATAGTTCTATCAACTCGATGGCTTGAGATCCCGGCACACTCAGTCATCAACTACGTGAGTCTACGTTCAAATTTCATGAATACCTTCCAAATTTAGGTCTCGTGAGACTCCAGCAATCACTCGTCTATATAGTCATATCCCTTATAAAACGCAGAGTCGTTGAAGTGATGAAATGTCTACAGCCGCTTCGACATAGCGACCATTACTGTACATTTAATCCACCAAGCCTTCAATTATTACCAACATATATGTTTTTCCAAAAATACATAGCATAAATATTTAACCGCGTCCTCAAATCAACGCTCTCGTCCGAAAAAGGCATGAGATTCCTCGCAAGGCTGCAGTACCTACCGTCCATCTGCTTGTCCACCTTAATATCCGATGTCGATATTGCTACTCCCTCCCTATAGGTACCGGTATGGAGGTGGTCTGTTTGGCCGTACTCATTGGTGCGCCCACTGAGCCCAGGCACCGGCATGGCAAGAGTCTCCTACCGGCACGGAGGGCAGCTAACACCTCATACGCCGCTGCGTAAGGTGGGGTCGCAATACGAATAAATTAATGACTCATGCGTGCAGTAAAAGTTGCGGTTAATGAGATAACCATTTATGAGTGACACAAATAAAATGCAACGCATTAACAAACATAGCCACCTAAACGTGCAGTGAAGGGTGAATAAGGCCGTAAGCATCGTTGGTGAGTAACTCAAGTAGAACGCAGCCATCAACTAACAAAGTCTGCCATGCGTGCAGTGGTGGTGGTAGAAGTCCTGAACAAAGTTAGTGAGTAACTCAAGTAAAACGCAGCCATCAACTAACAAAGTCTGCCATTCATGCANTCTTATACACATCTAGATGTGTATAAGAGACAGGAGTTAGTGAGTGTGAGTAACTCAAGTGGAAAGCAGCCATCAACTAACAGAGTCTGCCATGTCTGCAGTGGAGGTGGTAGAAGTCCTGAACAGAGTTAGTGAGTAACTCAAGTAGAAAGTAGCCATCAACTAACAAAGTCTGCCATGCATGCAGTGGAGGTGGTAGAAGTCCTGAACAGAGTTAGTGAGTAACTCAAGTAGAAAGCAGCCATCAACTAACAAAGTCTGCCATGCGTGCAGTGGAGGTGGTGGCTGGGGCAGCTCGTCGGCGTCGGTGCCCACGTGAGCGTCGAGGCAGATAACGACATCCCTCGCGCTCTTCCTAACAGCCTTTGGCAGCATATCATGTGAATATTTCAATTATATGATAATTTGTATATGTTGTTCCTTTTTTTCTAGTTGCTAAATGTTGAAAATTGTGACGTTATCATTTGAAAGATTGCTGACACGATTTCAGAAAAAGAGTATGTACACACAAGCTATAATTAATGAAAAGAAAAAATTTCGACATTAAAATTCTATAATTTTGGGCGGTAATTTTCTCTTGAACAGGGCGGTGATTTCTCTTGAACAGGGCGGTTTGTGTAGGACCAAAATCAGGTTAACTTTTTCTTCAATCAATGCCGCAGCCCTGCTCATGACGCTGCCAGCCCGTCGATGCGGTACCAGCAGCATACTCTTCACCTCGACACATCCGGCAACCACACGAGCAGCGCCATGTTGTCTCTGACTTTCGGTGAGCAGATGCGACTTTTTCCAGAATTTTACGGTGATCTGGGGAAATTTTCTAATTTTCGGGAACAAGTGACAACTTTTTTTATACTTTCCGGTGAAAAATACGTCTTGGTTGTTAACATTTGCTATGGAGGTAACATTACAACTGATTTACAATGGTGGAAACATGGCAAGTTTTTAACTTTTTAGACTATTTCACAATCGACCAAATATATGTTAAAGCCTTCTCTTATATTTACAGAAGAAGCCGAAACCTCGCACAAGCAAAATGTGAGTGATATGAGACGTGACGACCTCATTCAACTCTTCTAGTGCCAATCAAACTGTCAAAACTCCTCCTATAAATGAATCTCACATTGAAAATGTGCACTTTATTTCTTCTGAAGACATTTCTGCTGATGTTGACATTTCAACTGATTGAATCTCTGATGTGCAAATTTTCATGCGATAATGAAATTACTTTTGACCAGGATTCTGCCAGGCGCGAGTTTCCCGATTTCGAACTTTACGACTCGAAGGATAATCGGAGCAGGAAGCTCAGCTCACTGACAGGTGAGTGAACCTTATGTCCAAAACTTTAGCGCGACCTCCCTCTTCATGCAGTGGAAGGAGTTGTTAACGTTAGTTCATCTAAATAGCAATGAAAAGAAAACGTAAAATAAAATTTTTAATTTATTGACACGGAATTGTGTTCTGGAGAACACAGCAAATCTTGCTTAAGCGTTTCATCTCTCTTTGGTCTGAATCTCAGTACTCGGGAAGAATTAGGCAATTAAAGTGAATTGAGCATAAGCTTCTTCAACTGGCCAGGGCAAGCCAGGCAGGTAACACAGAGAAACTGAAGCTCTAGGCTTCGTTACGCTCATCCAGTCAAAAATATCAACTGGTTGGAATGAAACGTTAACACTAAATTGTAATAGAGAATGTGAGCTAGCTGAATATTAAGGTCAAGAATATCACCAAATGCTAAAATTAAAGGACTTAACAGATGCACTCTTAAAAATGCGTAGCCATCTTGAAATTAGGGTATATAATAAATGGGTTAACTATTGAATATATATGCAGTTGGAAGACTAGAAGGGTTTATTATTCAGGTTGAGAGTAACTAAGTGAAGATAATGAAGTTTTCCTTTGCGGAAAGTGGCCGGAGCTACAAATTGACTCAACACCTCAGTGACGGACAACCAACCTGCAACATCCGGTCCTAGCTCTCCCGAGCTCTCACCGAGACCGAAAAGACTAGCTGTTGCAATCGATCCCAGATCGTCTCACGCCTCAAGGCTGCCACCTCAGATGAGACGCAGTCTTGAAGTCTCACGCAATAGAGAAGATGAAATGGACGAAAATGTGAAAATTAAGCGTCGATGGCCGTCACAAAGAATTTGACTGGTGCATTTGCTGTTGCGGGACCTTGCTTGAATCCGAAGTTAGCTTCAATCTTCAAATACATATTGAGAGAAATGAGGAAGGTTGGCCGCACAGAATTACCAGAGATGTTGGAAATTAAAGCCGGCCAAATTATATAAGTAATTGCTCAAACCCGATATAAAACGTATTTCCAACCGTAATTCTTGCAAAAAATAAGACTTTTCCACACCGAAACATGAATCTCAGCTCATTGGCAGGCAAGAGAACCTTAAAATGAACATCAGCTCACTCACAGGCGAGAGAACCGTAACAGGAACCATCGCTCACTTACAGGCGTGAGAACCGTGTTAGGAACCTCAGCTCATTGACGGGCCCGATTACCGGGAGGTTCACAGGACAGAGGCAAGGCTCTTAAGATCAGTGAGGTGGTTGAGTAAGTTATTAAGTTATGACTTGTCACTACTGCAGGTGCAGGAGGGTTCATGGTGACTGCACGCGGCAACTTCTCATCAGGCGTTCACGACATCGTGTATGAGGCGTCACTGGCCGCCAGTGCCCCCAACACGACGGAAGACAGCCAGGAGACACAAAGCTATCACCTCACCTTCCTCAGGAGCGGCGTGCCCTCCGATGTGCCCAGGCCACCTAAAGTAAGTATCATCAGGTGCTTGCAGATACAGTTATATTTGCATGCATGAATCATAAAGTTAGGGTTTTTTTTCATAACAGTTTCTCCTAGATCCAAAGTTATGTATGATATTTCACCCTGGATTATCGTAACACATCAGTTATCCTTAGACCGGCAGGTGTGAATGGTCCCCAACCAGGATTATCGTTACACATGAGTTACTCCTGTTCCCGCAAATGTGTACGTTATATCAAGTCATTATTAACGTTACACATAAGTTACTCCTTTTCCCGCAAGTGTGTACGTTATATCAAGTCTTTATTATCATTACACATAAGTTACTCCTGTTCCCGCATGTATGTGCGTTATATCAAGTCTTTATTATAAATATACATTAGTTACTCCTGTTCCCGCATGTATGTGCGTTATATCAAGTCTTTATTATAAATATACATTAGTTACTCTTGTTCCCGCATGTATGTGCGTTATATCAAGTCTTTATTATAAATATACATTAGTTACTCCTGTACCCGCATGTATGTGCGTTATATCAAGTGTTTAGTATCAATACACATAAGTTACTCCTGAACCCGCAGGTGTGCTTGAAATGCTCAGTCACGTCTCCGGCGCTGCCGTCGCTCGACCGCCTCGACAAGCTCCTTCAAGATCAGCTGCACGCCACAGTTTCTGCTACGCTGGGCGTCGGCTCAACTTGTCGAGCCTCCAAAAAAACCGAAGTTGCCGCGCTGAAGGCGAGTGGTTATTTTTTGCATTTTTTCATAAGACTCATTTTTATCCGAAAAATTTCTTTTTCAGTTTAGTTGGAATAGTCTTTATTTTAGAGTTAATTTGAATATTCGATGTACAACTTTATGAGGAATTATGTAAAAATTTTGTTTTGCATAATAAATGATTTTGTTAACATTAAAAAAATGCAAGTGCATTACAAGTAAGAAGTTTGACTATATATGTCCGTTCAAGATTTTATATCCTAATTCGGTTTCGATCGCCAACAAAACGTTAAATAAATTCACCGTATCTCCATTGAAAACGTTCCGAAGACCAGCTGAAAAATTTAGACCCGATTATTTCTTTTGGGTCAGTGGGTTCGATCCCGAGGTTCGATCCTGAAGTCCCAATAAAATAAAATATAGTAAATAAAGTCCCAATAAAATGTAGTTCAATAAAATAAAGTCCCAATGTCGACATGTAGTAGAAGTATCACCGACTGCCTCTCGTTGCCGTCTGCAGGCGCAGCTGTCTGTGAGCCCCAAGCAGCTGCGGCTCCTCGCCCGCCGCCTGCCCACGCAGTGCAACTTCGACCGCCTTGACCCCACGACCAGCCTGCGACGAGCGGCCTTCTACGACGTGCTGCACGCCGACCTGTCGTGGCAGCAGGTGCGTCGGTGTGTCTGTGACGTGCTGCACGCCGACCTGTCGTGGCAGCAGGTGCGTCGGTGTGTCTATGACGTGCTGCACGCCGACCTGTCCTGGCAACAGGTGCGTCGGTGCGTCTGTGACGTGTGCAGATCACATGACAGATATGACCTCCTCTGCTCAGGTTTCCCATTACCTCATAATTGAACTCTCGCCCACACATAATCTCTGAACCGGACAAATCATCCGGCACGGAGAAAATCGTTAGCTTTTTTAAACCGATAAGATTTGAATTACAAATAAATAATTCTAACGTTTAGTTTACGATTTTCATTCAGCTTTTAAAAACGACAATGAAGTATCATAACAATGATTTATTTAATTTCCTTTCCTTTCCTTTAATTTCCTTTGTACATGCGTGGTCAGGACGTGCCAGGAGTCCTGCTGAACCAGAGCCATGCGGCGGCGAGCGTCCTACGGAGCCTCAGCCTCCCCTACACATCCTCCAACTGCATCAGCGTCGACGCCCCCCAGCGGCGGGTGCTGGTCAACCTCACCAGGTGGGGGGTGTGGTGGTCAACCTCGCCAGGTGGGGGTGTGTGGTGGTCAACCTCACCAGGTGGGGGGTGTGGTGGTCAACCTCACCAGGTGGGGGGGTGTGGTGGTCAACCTCACCAGGTGGGGGGTGTGGTGGTCAACCTCACCAGGTGGGGGGTGTGGTGGTGGTCAACCTCACCAGGTGGGGGGTGTGGTGGTCAACCTCACCAGGTTGTTTTTGTAATTACCCATCCTGGCAGTGCCAACTAGGTAAGGGAGGGGCTGATAGGTCAGTTTTTCCGGGCATTAATGCCACTGGTAGTTCCACGACCATCACTGGCTCGCTGACTCACCAGAACCATTTGATTGCATTACACAACACCCTGGATTGCATTACACATTACCCACAACCTGTGGTGGTTAAGAGCATACAAATTGCCCCTTTTTAATGTTTCCACATGTTGTTCCGTGGGGCAGTTGGGCATTTTTACTCATGCACTTTGCTTCATACTTGTTCCCATTGATGGCAGAAGAATGTGCCATCATCGTTGTTACGTCGTGGGGTTCATTATAACGAAAATTCCTGCGTACGCTCCGCTCCTAAATATCAGCGACCCTGTCATGGACGTAAATTTCTGCAAATTTATTTATGTTGAATAAAACGACTGGCGTTAGACTATCAAAATCGCAGGGAGATGGCGGGAAGAAAGCCGCCCTCGTCTACCGAACATAATCCGTCCTTAAAGTTTCCCTACAAAGAACAGAACTGAATTACATCATAGCGAAGCAAAAACTGCCTATCAATTCCATCATTTTTAAAACGATTTTATGCCTACAGTGGCTACACTGAAAGATAAAATGTCCAACTTCTATTCAGTACGAAGTATGTGGGGGAATAAATTCTACACCTAAATTTATTTATCAAAAAGCTGATCGTTTTATCTTATGGGGACTGAAGTTTTTACACCAAATGCTTCGTGGAATGCATGTCACTGGCGCGTGATCATGCATGTCACTGGCGCGTGATCATGCATGTCACTGGCGCGTGATCATGCATGTCACTCGCGCGGGATCATGCATGTCACTCGCGTGGGATCATGCATGTCACTCGCGTGGGATCATACATGTCACTCGCGTGGGATCATACATGTCACTCGTGCGTGATCATGCATGTCACTCGCGTGGGATCATGCATGTCACTCGCGTGGGATCATGCATGTCACTCGCGTGGGATCATACATGTCACTCGTGCGTGATCATGCATGTCACTCACGCGTAACCATGCACATGGCCCTCAGGTCGCAGACGACTAGGCGTGCGACTGGTCTGATCAGCCGTCCTGGTTGTCTGGACTATGTAGAAGAGCTACCAGTACCTACGATACTCGACTTGTTGCTGCCCCTGCACGGTCACCACTCCAAAGGGCACGACGGCGAGCTACACAGTACCCAGCCAGCCGTGGTGCCTCCCAGTGACCAGTGCTACGTCCTCTCCAACAGGGTGGTCACCTTCGACATGGTGTCCTACGAAATGGAGCCTTCCACTTGTGACAGGTAGTTAGGCAGCTCATCTCATTATATTGCTTCTGCAAATTGGCTTATAGTTTGGAAGTTTTACGAGGTAGGTGTTGAAATTTCTGTTATTTGTATGGATTGTTTGTTTGTTTGTGGTTGTGTTGATGCACAGCATCTCTTGTTTATGGATGTGATGGTGCACAGCATCTCTTGTTTATGGTTGTGTCGGTGCACAGCATCTCTTGTTTACGGTTGTGTTGGTGCACAGCATCTTTTGTTTATGGATGTGATGGTGCACAGCATCTCTTGCTTATGGTTGTGTTGGTGCACAGCATCTCTTGCTTATGGTTGTGTTGGTACACAGCATCTCTTGCTTATGGTTGTGTTGGTACACAGCATCTCTTGCTTATGGTTGTGTTGGTGCACAGCATTTCTCTAACGTAATTAACTTACGGAGGAGAAAGGATCGAGAAAGACAATCGTAGAAATTTAAGACTCATTGCCAACTTAGCACGGCTGTGAGTTCGGTTATGACGGTTAGGTACTCTCATCTTAAGTAACATTGCCACTCAGCAAACCTAAATGTAAGGAGAGAGGGAGACCACAATGTAATGACGTGCCTCAAATGGCATCCCTTCATGCGAAGGCCTGGTCATTAGAGGCTACAATATCACGAGTTGGGCTAACTATCCTAAACTTAACTATCGAATGACTGTAAAGATCCAAACCAAAGAATCCACTAAAATAAAATAACGTTTATGTACAACCTGGAATTTGTTAGTTAAAGAAAAGGGTTAATATTAGACTAATTAATTAAACATGTGAAGGTTGTCGTATACCTGAACTTTTTAATTACACTTTTCCAACCGTCGCCGTCGATGAATATTTAATATACATGACGTTTGTAAGTTCAACAATTAATACAAGTTTCAGCGTAAATATTTTTTATTCGAAATTTGATATTTAGTCCATATTTCCAGAGTATAGGATCTTCCAAGGCTTGTGTGGGAAGACAAGGACCTCAAGACAACACTGGCATCTCAACGATACACAATTTAAAGCTGTGACAAATCGCAATAATAATTGCACTTAGTTAATATTTATTACTCAAATGTTATTTTAGTTAGCTGAACAATATCTCTGGCGTGCAGGGTGATTTTCGAACACGTGGGTGCCAACTCTGGCGTCCTGGTGAGCTTCCGAGGATCGGACGAGTCGCCTCACGCGCCGCTGAGCTACAGGGTCCTCATGCCGGCCGCCGGGGTCGATATCCGCGTCGAGGGACACTCTGTGCTGGTGAGATTTAATGTTTGTGATTGTGCATTGCTAGAATACAAGTAATAAATCCACCGTCTCTTGTGGGGCATTTCAAATTACTCGTTCATCCTAATATAGATGATCGCGCAGGTCTACTGTGATCACTTGGGGATCATACTGGGTGGTCACTCCTTGGCAGGTCTACTGAGGTCACTTGGCACTGGCACGTGGCAAGCGTATTATTGTTAAATATTTCATAACATTTTGCAAATGATTTTCGTGGCTGGTCATTAGAGTTCCCGAGGTAATGTAGCTCTTAATTAGTGAGCACATGACAGTTGTTGGCGCCTCCAGTTCCGCACTAGTGTTAGAAAATAAAGTGCGGCAACGAAACATAATCTCTACAACTACTGCACGAACATTCCTTATCTCAGATAAACAACGCAACGATGGCAGGCAACACCAAAGATGTCGTGGACGCCTCAGGCTCCGTGGTGGCGAGTGTAAGCAGGACCTCCGACACTGTCGAGGTGCTCCTGCCGTCCCTCCTGCAGGCGCTCATCAGGAACTCGAACGCCCTCGTGCTGCGGGTCCTGGACAGCGCCCTCTTCAGGGGGGCGGTCGGAGGACTCTGTGGCAACTTCGACGGCGTTGCCCTAGGGGATCTGCAGGACCCTAGAGGGTGTCTGTTCCTCCGCCATCAGGGGAAGACGATGGCGGCGTCGTGGACTGTGCAGCCCTGCAGTCTTCCCTCTGAGGTCGTGGACAAGCTCAAGAGGCAGCAGTGGACTTGCCCGAGGACTCCTGCAGAACTCGGCCAGCCTGGTGAGCACCGCGTATAAAGTCCACTTATAAATTAACGGTTTATTCCGTATTACGTATTATATTTTTTAATTAATTATCTGATTATTCCGTATTACGCATTATATTTTCTAATTAATTTACGTTTTATTCCTTCAAATTATTAAATATTTGAACTCTGAACGTAGACCTTACTTCAGAACCATCACCCATGGAGCGTTTATTGTTTATTGATCCGTTTATGTTAACTTTGCGTTTGATATAATTATCGTCTGATTGCCTCGCATGGATGTTGCCATTAGTGCTTACTTCACTCTGCAGTAATGCGGTGATGTCAATATGCCTCAAGTTCCGCCTCCACCACTCGTTCACCTCCACCACTCGTTCACCTCCACCACTCGTTCACTACCACCACTCGTTCACCTCCACCACTCGATCACCACTCTCATCCTACCACTCCCCATGTTCCTTCAGCCACGGAGGACTATGACCCTGAGCGCTGCAGCGATGAGGCCCACCGTGTGGTGGCCCAGCCAGGCCACGTGTGCCTCACCACGGTCCCCGTCAGTGCCTGCGCTCCAGACTGCGCCCCTCTCTCCGGCACCCTGCGCGAGGCTATGGTGGGGCCTCGTGACTGCAATATGGGCCAAAATTGTGACCTTATTTAGGCTAAAATAGTGGCTTTATTTAGGCAAAGCAGTGAACTTTTCTAGACAGAAGTAATAACTGTAACTGAACAAAAATAGTAGCCTTCCCTATGTAAAAATATTAACCTTCTCTGAACAAAAATATTGAATCCTCTTGACAATAACAAATTCGTGGCTGAGATGGCCGCGTTGCTGGCGTTATATCTTCCTTCGCCTTAATCCTCATCTCTGTGGACTTACTTGCCCGTAATGTTCAATGATTTCTTCAACCATATAGTGTGTTAATGTGTAGCTTGAAAACACTAAAATATAAATACATATGCGGAAAATAATACAATTTTCGTCAGCATTTTCCTTACTAATACATTTGGCAATTGCATTTTTCCTCCTTACTGAAAATCAATTTAATCCCCCTCACTTCCCCCTCCTCCAGTTTGAGGTGAAGTGCTGGGCGGAGACGCGACTACCGGAGAGCCTGAAGAAGGCTCAGAAGGAGGGGCGCTTGTCCTACCTCGAGGACTCCCCAGGCACCCTTATGCCCGTCCTGCTGTCCTTCCCCATGGAGTGCGTCCCCAAGCGGGAGTCCCGACATCGTTAACTAACGCGTCCCATGAGTCCCGATGTCCTTAACTAGCGTCCCCTTAAGTGGGAGTGCAGACATCGTTAAGTAACGCGTCCCATGAGTCCCGATGTCCTTAACTAGCGTCCCCAAGCGGGAGTCCCGACATCGTTAACTAACGCGTCCCACGAGTCCCGACGTCCTTAACTATCGTCCCCTTAAGTGGGAGTCCCAAAATCGTTAAGTAACGCGTCCCATGAGTCCCGGCGTCCTTAACTAGCGTCCCCTTAGGTGTGAGGCCCAATATCGTTAACCAACGTGTCCCATGAGTCCCGACGTCTTTAACTAGCATCCCCCCCCTTAAGTGGGAGGCCATATATCGTTAACCAACGCGTTCCATGAGTCCCGATGTCCTTAACTAGCGTCCCTTGAGTGAGAGGACCGAGAGCCTTAACTAGCGCCTTCTTAAGTGGGAGTCCCGACAGCCTTAACTAGCGCCTCCTTTTGGATAAGTTCCAAGCGCCTTAATTAGTGCGCTTAATTAGGCATCCCGACAGGCTTAACCAGCGCGTCCCTGAGTAGGGTTCCCGCTAAATTAACTTGCATTTCCCTAAGCTGGAGTCCCGACAACTTTAACTAATTCGGTACAACGCGGAAAACCATAGCTTGCTCATATTTTAGCTAAGTTCTCGACAACATTAACTAAAGCACATATCTACCAGGAGTCCCACCAACCTTTGCTGGTGCATGCCGTGCGGGAGCACCGCTTGACGCCTTTCATTTTTAGCCATTTTCTAATTTATGGAAAAAAGGCGCTACTATGCTCGTCATGTCCGTCCGTCCCTCCGTCCGTCTGTCTGTCCGTGACTTCACGGACGGACGGACGAGAAAATGCGCTCTCAGTCACTCACTGCAGTGAGTACTTATCTAATTTTTTCCTAATTACAATTTGCAATTTTTCCATCCTCATTACCATTAATTCTACAATCTACAGCCTGCAAGGAAAGTTAAAGTCAAGCCTCACTTAAATTTAACCTTCGTAAAGCAATACCCACGTCGTTGATACAAATTGGAACGACCAACATCAGCTGCTGCCGTGCACTGTGAGATTCGCCCGAGTGCCCGCTGCCTAGGAACCTGCTGAATAATTGCATTATAACAACGCCCGTTGCATTGAACAAACCCATGGACTATATTCTAACCTTTTAATTCAATACTCTGTGAGTTATTGCAATGAATAAGAATGTTAGGAGCTATATACTTATGCCCTACATCACTGTAAGGCTCGCTAGACACAGACAATGCAGCTGAACACTTTTGGCGTAAAAGTTGTGTGGGCGAATCCAAGATATCAATTCAATTGGAACCCGAGTGTTCCGAACCACAAAACGCAGGCAATTAATGAACTCACACAGACGAGCGTTCACGCAGACTTGCCCTGGGCTTCTCCGAATTTCCTGTCATACATTAGCAATTACGGAACGTAACTCGTTCTAGGTGTCTTATGTTGCATTTAAATGGGAATTGTTCATTATGTTTTATTGACAAGTAATTTGACATTCATGTTAAATTTCAACTAATTAAATAGTAATAATTTACCTTCTTAACATGCTCTTTCATGGCCAATATCCTGTTCGAAGTCCGGCACTTAATTGGATTACTGCCCCGACTGAAATTATGAACGAGAAAACGTGTTTCGCAATCGCTGCTCCATTGATATGTTAAACCAAGTGCTTAAGTGGCCTTATTATCGGTCATATTCTGCCATCTCGAGTCGTACGTTCTATGCTCAGGATCAAATAATTAATTGCAATTTTCTGCAATATCTTTACTGTCACCCCTACGACTGGAGCAGAACAAGACAGTGCCTGTGCCTCTGCAGAGCCAAGCCATACAACCTACCCCTGTGTAGCAATAAACATTCCTCAAGATCAGCCTTCCTTCATTTGCCCTATCATATCGTAGGATGAAAATACAATGGAATTTTTACCATCATACCAACGTTATTTAATGGCATCTAGCATTTAGGAGATATAAACGCCCTTTTTCTTATATGATAATGTTTAAACTTTAGATATTAACGCGAGAGCCGTTTCCATGCATATGTTGACCAGCGGGTATACGCTGTCTCGAGGGAAATGCTTTACATCGCTAGACTAGAGAACTGCTTTCTTTGCATACCATTTCCAGAAACGTTCTCCTGAGTTCATACATTGACCAATGAAAGTTGGTAAACTTTTCTTGAATTGAAAATTGAAATTAAACATAGAAACTGCAATTAGTTTACATATGAATTGCTAAAACATATATCAGTTTCTATCCGTTATATCTGCTACTACCTGGAATCAGGTTAAAGAATTCGAGTAAATGCTGACTAAATAGTTATAAAACGGATAGTATTATCGGATATGACAGAGTAACGAAAAGACAGGTACAGTTACAAACGAAGAATTTTAAATTTCCAAGCTAATTTTCGTTCAAGTGACAAGCGCACGCGGATGGAAGTTTGAAGCTCTCAATTGCGAATGGAAAGAAGGGGTCGTAGGGAACATACACCAGAAATCGGTGGTAATTGAACTTCTGTGAACACCGCGACTGATAACAGTGGGGTATGAGGGGACAGCTCTCCCCAGTAGCAAGACATTCCTCCAGCCTCACTGACTGCGTCAGTAGTTGGTAATTCACCTGCAGGTTGTTCACTATCACCATCCACTTGCCGCTCTTGTTCTTGGCGCGGAACGGTTGAGCGTAAGTGATATTGGATGGGCAGACGTACGATTCATCGCCTTTGGCTTCCCCGGGCAAAGCCACAGAAAGTTCGGTGTCGAGGCTGGCAACATCAGCGTACAGTTCGAGCAGCTGAGTTGCGTGTTGCTGGGCTGAGTCCAATATTTCACTCATTGGATAATGTACATCTTTCTCACAGTAGTGCTTGTCATCCTCGGCACAGTTTGGCTTCTTGTCGGAGTTGTACTTGTTTTCATTCAAACGATCATGCCGCCATGGATATGTTGGGCTGAAAGAGTGAGCGCCAAAAGTAAATTTGTGTTTCGACTTGACCGTCTGCGGGGAGATAAGACGTTTGGGGATATGAAGAGGTTCATCCTTAAGAAATCGGACTGACTCAATCGGAGGGTACACATTTTTTATATGGAACTCCTCAGGCGTCACGGAGTCAATTACACTGGACTTGCTGTCTGGGGCCTCCTCTTCTCCCAGCTCCTCGCTTGAACCAATGGGTTTGTTTTCAACCTTTCCCTCCTCCTCTCCCGCAGCCTCTTCCTTGTTGCTCGTCAATTTCACTTCCGGATCTTGTCTTCGGAAAACTGTTACACCTTTGTTCTCAGCTAGAAAACCCTGATCGGTAACTAACATTTTAGATTCTTTTTTTCACTTCATGTTCTTTAGTTTTTAAAGAATGATTGTGGGATAATAATTCTGGCGATAAGTAGAATGGGCTTACAGACTGCGCGAACAAACGAGGTTTAATAGAAGGATGAAAGACTGAACTGCCACTGCCGTATTTTCGAACTTTGAGGTATGATATTGGCGGAGCAGGGTGGATGAATGGGCTCATAGCAAATGGATTGTGAAGAACATCTACACTGAACCCCAATTTCTCTGTACGCCAAGGCTCTTCATCAAACTCAGACAAAATTTTGTGGCCTAGGATATACGGATTCTCAATCTGAAGCCCCGACTCAAATTTCGGTGCATAGTCGTGATGATGCAAGGCGTGTTGGTAGCGTGGACTTGGCGGCAGGTGGTAGACATCCTGGTCGTGACGCCCTCGCAGGAGCTGGTGGTTGTTCAGGCCACTGCCGTGCTCGTGGTCGTGGCGCCCTCGCAGGAGCTGGTGGTTGTTCAGGCCACTGCCGTGCTCGTGGTCGTGGCGCCCTCGCACGAGCTGGTGGTTGTTCCGGCCACTGCCGTGCTCGTGGTCGTGGTGCCCTCGCAGGAGCTGGTGGTTGTTCCGGCCACTGCCGTGCTCGTGGTCGTGCTGGTAGGCGAGGCTCGACTTGCCCAGACTGATGGACTCGTGCGACGTTGACTCGGCCTGCACGGCCACCACAACTGCTGTAATCCACAAACGATTTTCATAATGTGTATCAAATTTCATTTAACCGAATTATTTACTTTATTTAAAGTCTGCGTTATACCTTCGTTCTTAAGGCAAAAGCATTGTGAACGTCAACCATTGTTGCTGTGGCAACAATGTATATTCTTTTAATTTTCAATTAAAAATCTATGCTATTTCACTTAAATTAGTTAATCATTAATCTCCTTCTCGATGATCTGTTGGTGGTCTCGCATATAGTTATTGCATAGATAAAATTATTAGTAGAGAACTTGAACTTTTATTTCGTCGGAGCTGGTCGAATACGGCAATATATTTCACTCTCATCTCAAAACTTATGCAACGTTCGATAACATTCTTGGCAAACTTCAATGTGCAATCAACTACAATATTGTAGAGAAGAAGGACTCAGAGCGATACAGACACACAGACCTTTCAGCAATTAGCCTACAAAGAATCTAGCATCTATTGCAAATAACTTGATCGATTTTACAGCGCTTTTTTTGTTGAATATCGCTTCACGTCTGCTTCTCAGTTGCATTTAATCTCTCGGATTTAGTTATTTGGTTTTAGTCGAACTGATGCAGCGCTCTTCCAATAACGAGACCACTGCAATGTTTCCTTTAGTAGATTTACTCTGTGAATCAATCCGACTTGCTTGCGATTACAAAAGTTTCTTCGATGTGACCATTTGTTGTAAGGCGAGAATATTATATAAAATTCATGACTTTTGTGCTTAAGAGCTTCGCACCAATTGAGTCGTGCTGATTCTCACGTTTTAACGATGAAGTGATTTTTTTCGCAACATGTTTCCCATAAGTTCCCATTAGGTGCACTCGCCGCAACATTTTAACATGTGGCGCACTCGCCGCAACATCTTGCCATGTGGCGCACTCGCCGCAACATCTTGCCATGTGGCGCACTCGCCGCAACATCTTGCCATGTGGCCTGCGTTTTAGTTGGCGCAATCACCCCGCCGCGGCACACTCCGCTGTGTGGGGCGATGTTGCGCAAATGGCGCACTCTGCGGCAGACGGCGTCAAGTGAGGCAGTTTGCCATCCAAGCCCGATTTTTTTGTACGACTTCAATTTTCCAAGCAAGAGTCGCTGTTATTTTCTCGTCTAACATTTTCGAGGGTGCCAGAATTGTTTTAAAGATATCAACATGATAAAATACTAATATTGGTCATTCAGGCTGAAAATAACCTTTTCCCCCGAAACCAAAACGCGATCGACATGTTATTGACTTTTTCAGGCGTTGCTTCTCAACAAAAGAGCAAAAACAAACCCGCCCCGTGTTGTAGCAAGCACTATTTACAACAACCCGCCCGTGTTGTAGCTAGCACTATTTACAACAACCCGCCCCGTGTTGTAGCAAGCNGTGTTGTAGCAAACACTATTTACAACAACCCGCCCGTGTTGCAGCGAACACTATTCACAACAACCCGCCCGTGTTGTAGCAAACACTATTTACAACAACCCGCCCGTGTTGCAGCGAACACTATTCACAACAACCCGCCCGTGTTGTAGCAAACACTATTTACAACAACCCGCCCGTGTTGCAGCGAACACTATTCACAACAACCCGCCCGTGTTGTAGCAAACACTATTTACAACAACCCGCCCGTGTTGTTGCACCAGAGACACTCAAAAAAACGTAACTCAGTACTCACTGCAGTGAGTGACAGAGAGCGCATTTCCTCGTCGACGAAAACGTGAAGTCACGGACGGACAGACAGACGGACAGATAGACGGACAGACAGATAGACGGACGGACAGACGGACATGGCGAGCACAATAGTGCATTTTTCCATAAATGAGAAAATGCGCTAAAAAGGGTGCATCGTTGACCTCTCATGACCTCACACCTGTTGACCTCACACCTCACGCTACGTCTCCACACCTGCCTCGACCGTGACCTTAGCAATACTTATTTTTTATTCAATTATAACAACCATGCATTCATCTTCCCACGAGTTCGCGGAATTTCTTCTGACGTTTCTACAAAAATTACCCCGCAACATGTATACAAAATTCTGTCACGCTTATAAGTGTCATTTTTAAATAGGGAGAGCAAGTAAAATACACGTGTATTCAGTTGTTAACATGACCAAAAATTGCAGGCGCGGAGGCTCATATGAGAGTGGATAAGAGTAAAGAAAAATAGACCGTTGTATTGTCTCTATATATTAGTAAAGAAAAATAGACCATTGTATTGTCTCTATATTAGTAAAGAAAAATAGACCATTGTATTGTCTCTATATTAGTAAAGAAAAATAGTGTATTGTCTCTATATCAGTAAAGAAATCTAGACCGTTGTATTGTCTCTATATCAGTAAAGAAATATAGACCGTTGTATTGTCTCTATATTAGCAGAAGACAAGGCGCCTCAAATGTGGCATATAATAAATTATAAGGCTCCGATTCTATGGCATTTTATTGATGTTACTGCGGTAGATTCATGACATTATGAATGGGTAATTTAAAAAGTTGTGAGAGACATCACCTAGTTAGTGACACGTTGATGGAAAGACATGAAATTGGTAATAAGGCGCTTAATTAAATTAAATGAGTATTAATGCACCAAATTAAATAAATTAAATTCGTAATAAGGCGACTAGGTAGATTGATAAAATTGATAATTAGGCGCCTAATTAGATAGTTAAATTGGTATTAATGCACCAAATTAAATAGATTAAATTTGTAATAAGGCGACTAGGTAGATTGATAAAATTGATAATTAGGCGCCTAATTAGATAGAATAAACTGGTAAATATGAGACATTAACTAGGCATAATATGCGAACTATAGTAAATCTTGCGAACCGTGATTTACTGCGAGTATATATGAATAAATTCTTTACTTTGCAGGAATAGAAGAGACGATGCGGAATAGACATCATTTCGAACTATGGCCGGCGACTTACGCTCCAAAATATACTATTTATACACACTAACAGCGAGTGCTGCCCCGTCATTAAAAGTGCCAAGTGAATGAGCTACTAGAAGCCATTCGTCTGCCTCACATCCACATACTGAACTCACCAAGACGCAGATCGCCATACCGTCCGCAGCCTATCACAGTCGCCGGTGGACTGAACCTCGTTGACCTCTTCAGCTCTTTATATACGCGCCCAGACACGACCCGCACCTGGGCGGAGCCAAATATTCCATCGAGCTTATCAGCAGCATGCAGTCTTCTTTAATTAAGGGACATGCATTTAAAATGATGAACATTAGCCTAATATTTGGTGAATAATCACAAATTTGATAGGGGAACGGCATGACTGTCAATTTACGAAATGATGGGAAAACTTGTCCAAAGTGATTTTCAAGTACGAAAGTTATTGTTTTTATTTTATGAGGCTTCACTATATATTATGCACATCAAAATTCATTTTGGTACGAGGAAAAATATATTTCAAACAAGATGTTTTTTAGTAGGAATTGGCTTCCGTTCAGACGAGCCGCTTCATTTTCGTCCAAATTTCTTCGGGGGAATGTCGCCGATTTCCGGGATTGCGCTTCCTTGTAAATGTTGATGGATTTGTACAACATAAATCATTAGATATCCCCATGCCAGGCTGCCCCATCGCGTCGTCAGAATCAACCGATAATCGTCAGAGAATTAAATTACAATATAATCGATAATTCTTCGATGCATTTTATTGTTGTAATCCAGCATGTCATTTGGAATACACATTGAGTTTTTGTCTCTGATTTCAAGTTATCAATATTTTTAAATGATTGATTGTATCAAATGATTCCAATGGTTTTCACCAGCATATAAATACGGTGGATCCGCTACTTGTTTTCAACAAACTCCTGCCGCGAATAAGACGCGCACCGTATTTATTCGCTATTTTTATTTTTATTTATTCACCGTATTTATTCGCAGTATTTATTTGTTCTTCTGAACAGCAGAGAAGCTATAATTCAGTTCATTGCCATAACTCTGAGCTGAGGTTGCGCCACCACAGTTTTACTGTCTTCTTTGTGAAGTCTATACAAACCTCCCGCACAACTAACTAAATCTTCCATTCTCATTCTGAACTTTCAATCCGTTTTGTCGTTGGTATATGGATTAAATTTATCAATTTAGAATCAACGTCTTGCTCAGTGATAGCCTATCCTGCCAAAAGAGGAAATCACATCGGTGAAACCCATCCCAAAATCATTGATGTCATAGCTATATTATCAAGCAACTGAAAATTGCCAGCTGATAGTTCGACTTATGAACATGCATTAGATTTGATCGGAATATATTATTTTTAACTTAAATTACAATTCATATATGC